CAACCACATCCGCATAACTATTGACCTTGTTAGTGCCCAGGAAACCCTGAATCACTATAGCATGGTTGTGCCAGGTGACCTTCCTTATGACGTTCTTGGAGAATTCCTCGCAAATCAGGATTTTTATTACATGTGGTCCAACGAAGACAATGGCTTAGATCTTGGCCTCAGACATCTTAGTGAAGAAATCTTGAAAGTAATTGATGGCTGCAGACTCCTTATCTAAAACTGTGGCAAAACATTCCATAAAGTCCAATTTAGTGTGCAGTGGTAATAACTGCAGGGAAATTGGGAGATTGACCCTTAATGGAGTGCATTATAAAAGCTGGTCTTTAGGCGTACCTCGTTACCGGAGGCAAGGTATCTAGTCGTCTTTGTGCATGCGTGATACGGTTTCAAGCATCCATAAGACACCCGTGGGAAGGGGCGAGTCCATTTCTATATTTGCCTGTGACTGCTTTCCTCCTCTGCCAGCTTCTCGCATTCCTCAATCTATCCTCTGACAGTGCAGGAACAATTGGCATGAACAGTTGAGCACTCAATAATAATTTTACAGACTCATTCCTTGTTTAATACCTGAAATGCAAACACAAATAGGATAGAGTAGGATAAGTTAGGTTAGGTTAGACAGGAACTAGAATGAACTTTGGAATGGTTCATCGAGGTGAAAAGCTTGACCCAAGAGCCGGTCTCTAGTCCCGGCCCGTCGCCATCAACAAAGGCGCAATGGTCGTTAATCCAAACGGCAAACCACCTGTTTATGAATGAATTACGGTTTACACTCGACCCACAACTGACAACATATGTACTTTTCTCGAGCATCGGTGACGTTCTCTGTTCGATTCGTAAATCTGAAAAATGCTTCACCCACGTGATACAAACACAAATAATCGCCAACAGTACCTAAACACCTAACCTAACACAACCTAGCACTATAGCCATAACCACACCTAACTATACATTGAATTTAATTACATAATAATTTATATTAATATTATAGAACATACCTATTTTTATTACACTTCAAGCATCATGACGTGCTCAACATGGAACACTTCAAGCATCATGACGTGCTCAGCATGGAACACTTCGAGCATCATGATGTGCTCAACATGGAACACTTCGAGCATCATGATGTGCTCAACATGGAACACTTCGAGCATCATGATGTGCTCAACATGGAACACTTCGAGCATCATGATGTGCTCAACATGGAACACTTCGAGCATCATGATGTGCTCAACATGGAACACGTCAAACATCGTGATGTGAACAACAACAAACACTTCAAGCATCATGATGTGACCATAACGAACACTTCAAACAGCATGATATAATCAACAAGTAACACTTCAAGCGTCATGAAGTGATCAACATGGAACACTTCAAGCATCATGAAGTAATCAACAAGTAACACTTCAAGCATCATGATGTGCTCAACAAGGAACACTTCAAACATCATGAATTGATCAACAACGAACACTTCAAGCATCATGATGTGATCAATAAGGAACACTTCAAGCATCATGATGTGATCAATAACGAACACTTCAAGCATCATGATGTGATCAATAAGGAACACTTCAAGCATCATGATGTGATCAATAAGGAACACTTCAAGCATCATGATGTGATCAATAAGGAACACTTCAAGCATCATGATGTGATCAATAAGGAACACTTCAAGCATCATGATGTGATCAATAAGGAACACTTCAAGCATCATGAAGTGATCAACAACGAACACTTCAAGCATCATGAAGTGATCAACAACGAACACTTCAAGCGTCATGATGTGATCAACAAGGAACACTTCAAGCATCATGATGTGATCAACAAGGAGCACTTCGAGCATCATGAAGTGATCAACAACGAACACTTCAAGCATCATGAAGTGATCAACAACGAACACTTCAAGCGTCATGATGTGATCAACAAGGAACACTTCAAGCATCATGATGTGATCAACAAGGAACACTTCGAGCATCATGATATTGTTGGAAATTTCCGACACCAAATAACTAACCTCTGACATACCATATTAGAGTAGTTATGTCAAACAATTACTAACATTACTAACTTTGCAAAGAAAATGTTCCTAGAGACTCCTCGGAAATAATGGAAGAGTATTGCGTTAGCCAATGTCGACGAATCTAATAAAGTTGTTAGTAAACGTAATTCTTCCTGTATACAAGTTAAATTTACTAGAAAACTCTTTATTAAAATCAGATTCAATTGAAATCTGCGAATAAATATCATATCATCATTTCCCCGCTGATAATAAATTTTGCTGAAAATTAGACGCTACCAAAATGTGTGGGGAGGAGAAGCGGGTGACGCCGCGGCGCCCCAGAGTTTACGCAGACCTCCAAGGCGAGCAGACGTGTCAGTACGCGTTCCTGATTAACACGTGCATACCAAATATTTCCAGAAATTCGTGCCACAGGATCTCTAAAATCCCTCAAATCCACGAATGTGCTACTTGGGGAGTATTGTACCCGGACTACTAGTAAGACTGATATTGCTTTGGCCATTGTAATAGTTCTTGTGGTTTCGGTTATGAAGCCGGCCACGTACCCATCAAGGGTAAGCTCATATCACACTAGAGACAGTCCTTTCTGTTAATAACACCTTAGTTTACTGCTGGTGTTAAATCTAACCATTTCACAGGTAAAATTTGGGAGGAAGAAGAAACTACCTACAAGCATCATTTCGACCCTAGTGCCCTGACGCCATAATATTCGAGAATCTTCGACGTGGTTTCTCTTGATCAGGTCGGGTGTATGAATACAGTACTAATTAGCCTGATGCTTCATCCATAACAGATGGGATTTCTTGAGCCTGGAATCAGGCCATTCCTATTTTTTAAGCTAAGGCCTTAAATTCTCCATGCAATAAGTAGATTAACCAGTAGAAGTAGTAGTAGCCTATCGTTATTCAGTTTATACTGATTTAGACTATATACACATATAAATAACTCCCCAAATATGTGCAGGGAGTAAACCCAGTAGGAGATAAATTTAATCCCGTCCACTTAATCATACAGTCTGTTTAATCCAATAAATATATACAATAACTACCTGCTGGGAAACCCCCCACGGATGTGGTCAGTGATCAACAAGTAACTCATCAAGCATCATGATGTGATCAACAAGTAACTCATCAAGCATCATGATGTGATCAACAAGTAACTCATCAAGCATCATGATGTGATCAACAAGTAACACTTCAAGCATCATGATGTGCTCAACAAGTAACTCATCAAGCATCATGATGTGATCAACAAGTAACACTTCAAGCATCATGATGTGATCAACAAGTAACTCATCAAGCATCATGATGTGATCAACAAGTAACACTTCAAGCATCATGATGTGATCAACAAGTAACACTTCAAGCATCATGATGTGATCAACAAGCAACACTTCAAGCATCATGATGTGATCAACAAGTAACACTTCAAGCATCATGATGTGATCAACAAGTAACTCATCAAGCATCATGATGTGATCAACAAGTAACTCATCAAGCATCATGATGTGATCAACAAGTAACACTTCAAGCATCATGATGTGATCAACAAGTAACACTTCAAGCATCATGATGTGATCAACAAGTAACACTTCAAGCATCATGATGTGATCAACAAGTAACTCATCAAGCATCATGATGTGATCAACAAGTAACTCTTCAAGCATCATGATGTGCTCAACAAGTAACACTTCAAGCATCATGATGTGATCAACAAGTAACTCATCAAGCATCATGATGTGATCAACAAGTAACTCAACAAGCATCATGAGTGATCAACAAGTAATCAAGCATCATGATGTGATCAACAAGTAACACTTCAAGCATCATGATGTGATCAACAAGTAACACTTCAAGCATCATGCATCATGATGTGATCAACAAGTAACACTTCAAGCATCATGATGTGATCAACAAGTAACACAAGCATCATGATGTGATCAACAAGTAACAAGCATCATGATGTGATCAACAAGTAACACTTCAAGCATCATGATGTGATCAACAAGTAACACTCAAGCATCAAGCATCATGATGTGATCAACAAGTAACACTTCAAGCATCATGATGTGATCAACAAGCAACACTTCAAGCATCATGATGTGATCAACAAGTAACTCATCAAGCATCATGATGTGATCAACAAGTAACTCATCAAGCATCATGATGTGATCAACAAGTAACTCATCAAGCATCATGATGTGATCAACAAGTAACTCATCAAGCATCATGATGTGATCAACAAGTAACTCATCAAGCATCATGATGTGATCAACAAGTAACTCATCAAGCATCATGATGTGATCAACAAGTAACTCATCAAGCATCATGATGTGATCAACAAGTAACTCATCAAGCATCATGATGTGATCAACAAGTAACTCATCAAGCATCATGATGTGATCAACAAGTAACTCATCAAGCATCATGATGTGATCAACAAGTAACTCATCACAAGTAACTCATCAAGCATCATGATGTGATCAACAAGTAACACTTCAAGCATCATGATGTGATCAACAAGTAACACTTCAAGCATCATGATGTGATCAACAAGTAACTCATCAAGCATCATGATGTGATCAACAAGTAACTCATCAAGCATCATGATGTGATCAACAAGGAACACTTCAAGCATCATGATGTGATCAACAAGTAACTCATCAAGCATCATGATGTGATCAACAAGTAACACTTCAAGCATCATGATGTGATCAACAAGTAACTCATCAAGCATCATGATGTGATCAACAAGTAACTCATCAAGCATCGTGATGTGATCAACAAGTAACACTTCAAGCATCATGATGTGATCAACAAGTAACTCATCAAGCATCATGATGTGATCAACAAGTAACACTTCAAGCATCATGATGTGATCAACAAGTAACTCATCAAGCATCATGATGTGCTCAACAAGTAACACTTCAAGCATCATGATGTGCTCAACAAGTAACCATCGCTCTCACCTGCCGAGGACATCCTCTTGACGAGGCGGACGCCGGCTCTTAACAATATGGTTGAAGTTGCAGAAAGTCACCGATGGAAAGTCGACCTTGGAGATGGGGTAGTTGGTGGAGTCGATGGACGTGAGGGTGGGCGCACTCCTGTACTCCGTCAGGTTCTGGCCGATGTAGTAACAGCAAGCAGTGAGGGACATGACCCAGCTCACCACCCAGAACAGTCTGAAAGCAAGCAAACTCCTCAACTCAAAGCCAGCATTCAAAATGGTAAGGTAATTACATATGAATATATAGTACTTAGAGTTGAACTATGAGGACAAGGAGCTGGGATATGAGGACAAGGAGCTGGGATATGAGGACAAGGAGCTGGGATATGAGGACAAGGAGCTGGGATATGAGGACAAGGAGCTGGGATATGAGGACAAGGAGCTGGGATATGAGGACAAGGAGCTGGGATATGAGGACAAAAAACTGGGATATGAGGATAAGGAGATGAGCTATGAGGACAAGGAGCTGGGATATGAGGACAAATAGCTGGGATATGAGAAAGGAGTGAAGGAAAGGTGTCCATTCACTTTTCCGCGGATCGAACGAGTATCCTGTAAGAAGCCATAGTACGACTATATCACACTTGAAAAGAGTATGAGGACACAGTGTGTAAAATTGTACTAATTTAAGACTTCCTGTGCCTGCGCTGTCACCAAGAGCAGACAGTACCAATATTCCGTTCACCTGGGCTGTAGGAGGCTCGAACCACTGACTCCATGTGATGTGAGCCCGAAGCTCTCTCGACTGGGCTATGAGTAGTCCTTATAAGGAAAGTTTCCAGAAGCATCATCCTGCTGCCAAACTGTAGTTTCTACCAGTAGTTTCTTCAGTTTTGCCAGACCAACGGCACTCTTATTCATCTGGGAACTCGTTGAGGTAAGGGCCCTCAGGTGATGAGGGATTTGCAAGTACTCAAACGTTTGTGATCTTGCTGGGTCATGTGTTCTCCAGAACAGTTCTGAGCAGAGAGAACATGTTCTCCAGAACAGTTCTGTGCAGGGAGAAAGTAGGGTAAATTAGGACTAGAACCGCGTGCAACACCTGAGCAGGTGAGCCAATTAGGCCCCCCTGTTCAGATGTTGCACAAGGCTCTAGTCATGATGGGTTAAAGGGGGGATCTTCGGGAAGGGGTGGGGAGTGTCCCGCGTGCGGAGTTGTTAGCAGGTGGCACGTTATGGGTCAGGTGGGGGGTTGTGAGTAATGTGGGTGTAAGGGTGTAAGGATTAAGTACAGGAACAGGTATGTAAGCTGCTAAATTAAGCACCATAGAACACATTCACAATATACAGGCTGAAAACAACATCGCACAGACCATATACACTGACGGATCACTCAATACAGCTACAGGGAGGGCAGGAAGTGCTGTTATTGCTCATCAGCCCGATGGCAGCACAATTCAAAAGAATTTCCGAATTAGTAACCGGGCATCCACAATGTAAGCCGAGTTGGTAGCAATACTGGTAGCACTCAAAATTATTGACAACACTGAACTAGACAGCTTAATTATTTCCGACTCCCTTTCCTCACTACGAGCAATAAACAGTTTATGTCGGAAAATCCGACACCATTTAATAATATTACATGCAATTGCAGATATTGTTGCTGCGTTGTATACAAAAGTTACCCATAGAAAATGTAGCTTGTAGTTGAATTTTCCGTCAATAGAAAACAGGATATCATTGCCACATACTATTGTAAATTCACCACTTATTATGGTGGGAATTATTCTTAAATACATTAGTCTTTGGACTTTTACATCATAAACACATCTCATATATGAATTAATTTAATTATCAATATTAAAATTGAGTAAATGTGACCCTTCTATCACTTACTGACATCTGGACAAAGTAGGCCAGTAGCGTGGTGAGGGAGTGGTCAGCCATTGTTGTTAAGACCAGAGGCGCACGGGAGTAAACAGCTTCTATCATTTCTCTTGGACGAAGTGTAATGGAGATCATATTAGTGTTCTACCATCATCAACACGCTGTCAACAATAATCAAGGGAAGTGTTCTGCCGAAACCCGTTTATCTAATCATTTTTGGCCATTAATGCCAGGTAGATAAGGGCGAACCAGTAAGAATGCGAACAGCCTCTTAATAAAAGGTAATTAAGCCTTGGTCTTTATTTTATCAATTATACAGTGTTTTCTCTGATATAGCTGTCATATACTAGGATTCTGGCTTTACAGCTAGCGCCCTTTGACAGGTCAAGAAGAGGAAGCAAGCTTTGTGTATCAGTTACTGGGTGACGGAAGCTGCCTCACACGAGGAAATTTGGTGTGTACATCCTAGTTATATCTGGTGGACTAAGCCTGTTGTAAAATAAGATAAGGAACCTCGTCAATGTATACTAATATATGTAGTTAATACTGTAGTTTGATTGGCTGTATATATATAAGTTCAATATAAACCCCCCCCTAATGTGTATGGATCGATTTGTGAGATTATTGCAGAAATACAGTCCACTTAACATCATACAAATTGCTATCGAAATATATAAATTAACGTAAATATAAATTCTATATAAATTCATATTAATTAAATAAATATAAATCTCACAGGTCGGTTCCCACAGTTTGCAATCAAGAAATAACGTGCTTGTTTTGGAAGGTAGACATAGATATATAAGAATACTTAACAAGAGGATATATATAAAAATGTTGTGGATTTCTTCTCACATTGGCATGCAGGAACATGACAAAGTTGATGCCCTTGCTAAGGCTGCAGTAAATAAAGACAGTATTGAACAGAATCTTGAGTTATCAAATAGATCCCTTAAAAGTGTCATTAGACAAGAACTCCTGGATGGATTTGAAGAAAGTAGAACTGTGCAAACTGGAACTAGCAGGTCCATTGTTCATCACAATGAAATGTGTGAAGTAAAACATGTGTATGGGACTATTATTTTGCTTCCAGTGTATACTATGAGCAGCAAGTAGGTTTTCTTTTATGCATGTTTCATTGAATATGACATGTAGCATATTCTCTGTAACTTAACTATTTGTGAAGGATAGATGAAATTGTTTATTTAGGGCTTCTATCCCTCCGTTCACTAGGGGTGCACAATAAACTCTTGGCGGCATCAGGGTTCAGCTGATATTGAAGAGGAGTTCACCAAAAGTCATTTAGGGCTTCTATTTTCAAGGTGAAGAGGAACCAAAAGTCAGTTAAAGGTGAATAATAACTGAATAATGTATTGCACGTATTATAAAATCGCACGACATTTCGAACCTACATGGTTCGTTCTCAAGTGATAAGAAATTACAAAAACTCGGTAGATTTATACCAGTACGGGGTCAGGTGAAAACATAAGTGGAAAACGGGGGTAAATACGGGCACATACAATGATTAATCATATGCAATAGGCCTATTATGTTGAGCAGTGTCTTCTGTGTTGACATTGTTATGTTCCGGTCTTGCTCTTACCCTCATGGTGGGTAGAGTAAATAGTTCCAAAATTTGGGTATTCATGGTATGTTGTTCTATTTTTATATGGATTGCTTCAAGAATTTGTAATCATCTTGCATCTTGGGTTTTGTCTATTATACAAGTATTTTTATTTAACATTTCTCTTGTTAGGGTGATGTCATGGGCTTGTCTCATGTGATTTCTGGGGGCACCGGATTGAAGTTGACATGTCAGTAGAGGGTTCTCCGTCGGCTTTGGGTTGTTTTTGATAAGGAGGTCCGAAGTCTTCTCTGTTTTGTAGAATATAATCAGGTCTATAATTTGGTTAGGAGAATGCTTTTTACTCCTTTACGGATTATTTCTTTCATTATTCTTTCTTCTATTTTATGCTCACTGTGCATAGTTGATTTGTAATATAGTTTTATTGGAGGAATTGTGGTTTCTGTACTAGGTTCAGGATTGTACCATCGGTCCAGATGTCATCTTATAGCAGCGTTTATTTCCATGTTGCTATATCCATTGTTACCAATACCTGAGTTATTCTTTCAAACTCTCTACTCACGTTGCTCCATTCGGAGCAGTGGGTAAGCGCTCGACGGATTGAAAATGCTGGCTTTGTATCTTTGGGGCACTCACTTTTACTGTTCAGACATACTTCTATTTTGGTAGGCTTAGTGTATACCCTGGTGCTTAAAGAGGTTCCTGGTTTTATTATTAGTACATCCAAGAATGGCAGACTGTTATTTTCACTATTTTCATGTGTAAATCGGAGTACTGACTCTCTCTCTATATATATTTTTAGATCAATTAGTTCATCTGAGTCTTTTACTATGCATGCATGATATGTGGATATATAGTTATAAAAGTATGTAGGATCGAGAAGAGTATGTTGAGGGAGGAGAGGGGGGGGGGGAGGGCCAGCCAAGGGAAGATATACCTAGGAGGCCGAGTTTATTAAGGTGTACGGTTAGGGAAGGGTGTGTGAAGTAGGTGAGAGGAGAGGAAGTGAAGAGGGCCACCCTTGGAGGCCTTTGGCTGGCACCGTCAGTGAGCCTCACACTCACATTCTCTCTCTCTTGTTTAAACAATAATGTTTGCTGTCTGTAGGAAAGTTAAGATGTTGGCAGAAAATGTATAGATGACAGAGTGAAGTGAGTGTATATTTCCAAAATGTGTGATTTTCTCACCACTGCCTCCACCGCCTCTGCCTCCGCCTCTGCCTCCGCCTCTTCCTCCTAGGCCTTCAACACAGGGTGTAAGAGGGGTGATTAGTTTTGTGTCATACACGAGTGTTCACAGCGGGATGTCTCGGTGGCTACTGAGCTGGGAGAGAGAAGTAACCATAATAATATTTGTAAACAATGGATACCTCACCCTGTCCCTCCCCTCTCCTCCAGCTAGAAGCATAAGGAGTTCCACATGACACATACCACATAGCGCATGGGGGCATACCACATGGTAGGAAAGCAGGCACAGTGGCGGTGTGGCCTCTTTGATGGGTTTGGTGTGAGTGAGGTACATGAGTGGGAGGGGAGTATTTTGTCAACAATACCCCAGCACCCCTTCCCCCTTGCGTGCTCCCTCCAGCACTTTCCACTTATCGGTGGGTGTGTTTTGTAACATTGAGTAGAATAATATGGAAGGAACACACACACATTCTGTTTATTTGTGTTAGCTTCAAAAATCGGGTTGGCAGGTAGGTTGTTCCACATTACTGTTGTTAGATTTTTCAGAGTAAAGAAGGAGGTGTGTGTATCTGTTCC